GGACCCTTCTGAAGAAGGGTCTAGGCCCGAAACGTCAGCCTTCCTGCTCCTCTGATGCTGCTTGGCCTGCTGTGTTCATCCAGCTCCACACCTTGTTATCTCAGATTCTCCAGCATCTGTAGTTCCTACTATCTCTGAAACCATTCAGGACAGAACTGTTTGATTGATTCCCCCATCCACCATTTTCAACATTGATGCTCTCCACCACTGAAGCAAGGTAGCAACAGTGAGTACCGTCGACAAGATACACCCACCAAGGCAACTGTGACAGCACCTTCCAAATTCAGGACCCCCACCCACCCCACCTAGAGGGGCACAGTTAGCAGATACATGGGAACACCACCATCAGCAAGCTCCCCTCCAAGCCACATACCGTTTGACTGAGAAATATATCACTATCTGAACTAACATCAAAGGATACTACCATTAGCCTCAGTACCTTGCATTAGAGAGATGGAAAAATGCCAAAATTGGCAATCTTTACCACTACTTGGTGACCTTAACGAGAAAGTGCACAATAGGTGGAGGCAGGAATTGGCTCAGTTTGTTGGAAGGCCATATGACTGACTAGCACTCAATGTGACAGCACTGTACAAATACACTGTCTAGTTTATTTCTGCATTCAAATCATCACCCATAGTGTTTGAGTACTGTTGGAGTGGAAGATATTTAAAAGGACACAGCTAAGACAGTTCCCTTGCATTCATACTCACTCTTGAGAATTTCCAGCATCAGATTTGGAAAATGCTTTGTTCTTGAAGTCCGCCCAGGCAGACTGCAACTAAAGTGAACATTGAAAAGCACACAGTGTATTTAACAATTTATTGGCACAAATAGTACAAAACAGTGGAAAAATTACAACTTGAATAGACTGAAGGGAGTCAATAGCAATCCTTACAGCACTGTCAGTGAACACCAGAATATTAACACATTATACAATGCCATCAGCATGTAGAGGATTAGCACAATATGAGACAGTTTTCTGAAGAAGCTCAAACTGTACAAATTCTTACCTCACATTTGTCATTCTTTTCTCCTACATTTGACAAACCAGAGCAGTTCAGTTTGGAGTTACCTAGCCACAAATTCTTGCTCTGTTTAGACTGTTTTTCTGCTTGTTCGTATATAACACAGAAATTGCTGGAAACACTTTGGTCTGGAAGAAAAGTTAATTGACTTGAAACATTGGCTTTCTTTCTTTCTCCACATTTGCTGCCGGACCAGCTGAGTTTTTAACCAGCATTTTCTGTGTCTATTTCAGATTTCCATCAACCACAGTTTTTGTTTGTACACAGTCTTGAACTTGGCACTGACCTGCACTATGGCCCTGTACCAAGATTTTGCTATAACCGATCATTACTCCACAACTTTACCTGGTGTTTCTGGGCTCCGACAGCCTTTACGAACTTCTCCATCCTCTGACGGAGGTCAGGCATGTTAGGGTAGACGCGAGAAGAGTGACCAAGCTCCTGTCCATCACTTAGCTTGGCCTCTAGAACAGTGAATGCATCCAAAAGGTGATACAGAGACACTGCAACATGACTGGACGACACCTGCCAGTGAGGAAACAAAACATACACTGATGTACTCAGGATGAAATAATCTGACTGACTATCAGGTGGGGAGCTGTTGAAAGTGTCCAGGCAGATCCTGCACGAGTCAAATAGAAACATTCTTTGTCGGTGCACTTTCAGTCCCTGTCATTCTATTACACTATATCCTGCTCCGACAAATTCAATTCAAGGACCCATAAACTAAAGGCAAAACCAGCACTAGGGCCATTTGATTTTGTAATCAAGACCAACAACTCCACATAACGATGCAAAAAAAATTTTGAAATTAATTAATTAAATGGACTATTCACCTCAAAATGGAACTGTCATAATTATAGACCTTTAGAGCCTGCTGCTCTCAACCGGGAGAAAATAAATAAAGCAAGACAATAAATGATTTACACAGCAACTGACTTATTTTCATCTTCTTACATCAACAGGTCTCCATGTAAGAGACTTACCCAATTTCCGTTCTCATGTTTAGAGGGAGCCTCAATAAACAGCGTGAAAGATAAGCACTTTCTCAGAAAGTAGGAGAGCTAATTTTCAGGTACAGCCCTTTAGAAGTAATATTTTGCTTCCAGATTCTGACTGTTTTTCACCACATTTACAGGTTTTCCAAAAAAAACTAGTGATTCTCGCATGATATTGCATTAGTTAGACCATAGGAAATGATGTAAAGCTCTGCAGTTCCTGGAGCAGGATCCTCATCTAGTGGTAAAAGTGTACAGTTACAATACTGAACACAGACTGGGCTCCATTCTATAAGAAGGACTTTGAAAAAATAAAGAGGGTAGATGCAGATTTACAAAGGTACTACCTACTACAAAGAAATGCAAAGAGTAATTTGAAAAAGGAGGGCTGTCTAGATTAGGCTAGAAAAAGTTGTGGAGTAGTTTCATCGACGTTTACAATTATGAAAGGGTGGAAAACAGTAAATAACTGTTGTTCCCAGTGATTAGAGAGTCCACAGTGGTGCACAATTAAGTACAGAACAATTAAAACAGAAATTAGGAATAATGTTGTTTAAAAGACACAAGGTTGGGAGACTGGAATCTACCACCAAAATTAGTGATCGAAACAATGAATTTTAAAGCTGGAATGATGGTTTCACTTGGTGATGCCCAAACAAGGAGTGAACAGTACATGCTGTAAACTGAATATATTACAAATCTTATTCTCACCTTTGTAAGCAGAACCAGAGAGATCCCGGGCCAGAGGGACAAGCAGTACATGTTGTGAGGCATCATGGGGCAGTAATTATCCTTTGAACTGGCATCAAGGAAAACTCTTTTGGGGGCAGAACTCTCTAAAGGAAGTGATGCCTGCAGGGTCTCTTCTGTAACCTGAATTCAGGAAACAGGGCATTATCCTGTGAAGACCACATTCTCCCAAACAGAAGAGCCGCCACTCAGAGAGAAAAAGAAGTTGCATCTTACACTGGTTATTAGCTTCAGATAGTAATGACCCCAGTAACATGATTTCTATCAGGAGTCACTGGATAACAAGTAGCAACAGGAAGATTGGCTATCTTTGGTTTCCTAGCTATAGGCACCAACAGAAATTACAATAGGTCTATTGCTAACATAGTTAGAGCAGTAGTCAAACCAACAGCCTTGCTGGAAAAGCTCAACAGGTCTGGCAGCATCCGTGGAGAGAAATCAGAGTTAACATTTCGGGTTGAGTGACCCTTCTTCACATGCTCTCTTATTCTAGAAACAAATTTTGTCTGGATTCAAACAATGTATTGCACAATCTTTCCCCAGTGTCTGACTTCACAGTTCTATTATCAACATTTGCCCAACTTTACACCTTGTTCTTAGTTTGCCTCCAGAGCTTTTGTCTGGAGACATAGAACATAGAACAGTACAGCACAGTACAGGCCCTTCGGCCCACGATGTTGTGCCGAACTTTTACCCGAAACCTAAAGTCTATCTAACCTCCACCGCTACCTTATACTAACATCCATATGCCTATCTAATAGCCGCTTAAATGCCCCTAATGAGGCCGACTCCACTGCCCTCTCCGGCAATGCATTCCATGCCCCTACCACTCTGAGTAAAGAACCTACCTCTGACGTCTCCCCTAAATCTACCTCCACTCACTTTAAAACTATGTCCCCTCGTAAAAACTGCCTCCACCCTAGGAAAAAGTCTCTGGCTGTCTACTCTATCTATACCTCTGATCATTTTGTACACCTCTATCAAGTCACCTCTCATCCTTCGTCGTTCTAAAGAGACAAGCCCTAGCTCTTTCAACCTTTCCTCGTAAGACCTACCCTCCATTCCAGGCAACATCCTGGTAAATCTCCTCTGCACCTTTTCCAATGCTTCCACATCTTTCCTGTAATGAGGTGACCAGAACTGGACACAATACTCCAGATGTGGCCGAACCAGGCTTCTGTATAGCTGGAGCATAACTTCACGGCTCTTGAACTCAATCCCTCTATTAATGAAAGCTAACACACCATACGCCTTCTTAACAACTGTATCCACCTGGGTGGCAGCTTTCAGGGAACTGTGGACATGAACCCCAAGATCGCTCTGCTCCTCCACACTGCCAAGAATCTTTCCCTTAACCCTGTATTCTGCTTTCAAGTTTGTCCCTCCAAAATGAATCACCTCACACTTTTCAGGGTTAAACTCCATCTGCCACTTCTCAGCCCAGCTCTGCATTCTATCAGTGTACCTTTGTAACCTAGAACAGCCCTCCGCACTGTTCACAAAGTGACCCACCTTCGTATCGTCCGCGAACTTACTAATCCACTCTTCCACTCCTTCATCCAAATCATTTACAAAAATCACAAATAGAAGAGGACCCAGAACAAATCCTTGTGGTACACCACTTGTAACTGAGCACCATGTTGAATATTTTCCGTCCACTACCAGCCTTTGTCTTCTAAGGGTCAGCCAATTCTGAATCCAATCTGACACATTTCCCCCTATCACATGCCTCCTTACCTTCTGCATGAGCCTACCATGGGGGACCTTATCAAACGCCTTACTTAAATCCACGTATACCACATCCACTGCTCTACCTTTATCCACGTGTTTGGTCACCTCTTCAAAGAATTTAGTAAGGTTTGTGAGGCATGATCTACCCCTCACAAATCCATGCTGACTATCACGAATCAAACTGTGCCTTTCCAAGTGATCATAAATCCTGTCTCTCAGAGCCCTTTCCAATAATTTGCCCACCACTGATGTAAGACTAACTGGTCTGTAATTTCTGGGGCTATCCCTGTTCCCTTTTTTGAACAAGGGAATGACGTTTGCTCTTTCCAATCTTCCGGCACTATACCCGTGGATAGTGCGGACAAAAAGATCATCGCCAAAGGCTCTGCGATCTCGTCCCTCGCTTCCCATAGAATCCTTGGATAAATCCCATCAGGCCCGGGGGACTTATCTATCTTCAACTTCCTCAGAATTCCTAGTACATCTTCTTTACTAACATCAACCTCCTCTAGCCTACCTGCCTGTTTCACAACGTCCTCCTCTACAACTAGGTCCCTCTCAGTTGTGAATACTGAAGAAAAGTATTCATTGAGGACCTCTCCTATCTGTTTAGGCTCTGTGCACAAATTCCCTTTACAATCCTTGATCGGCCCTACCCTTTCTCTGGTCATTCTCTTGTTCTGCACATACGTGTAAAAAGCCTTGGAGTTTTCCTTGACCCTATCCGCCAAGGTTTTCTCATGCCCCCTTATAGCTCTCCTAAGCCCTTTCTTCAGCTCCTTCCTGGCTAACTTGTATCCCTCTAGAGCCTTTTCCGTTCCTCTTTTCCTAAACCTTACATAAGCCTCCTTCTTCCTCTTAAGAGACAGACAGTCCTGCTGACTTTAAGCCGGCTTTTCATAAACTGAATAAAAACCGAAAGAACTGTGGATGCTGTAAATCAGGAACAAAAACAGAAGTTGCTGGAAAAGCTCAGCAGGTCTGACAGCATCTGTGAAGAAAAAAAAACAAACAAACAGAGTTAGAGATAGTAGGAACTGCAGATGCTGGAGAATCCGAGACAACAAGGTGCAGGGCTGGATGAACACAGCAGGCCAAGCAGCATCATAGGAGCAGAGAGGCTGACGTTTCGGGCCTAGACCCTTCATCAGAACGTCTGAGGAAGGGTCACCGGACCCGAAACGTTAACTCTGTTTTTTCCTTCACAGATGCTGCCAGACCTGCTGAGCTTTTCCAGCAACTTTTTTTGTTTTCATAAACTGAACCCACCTACAACAGTAGGTAAAAACTGAAAGAACTGTGGATGCGGTAAATCAGAGACAAAAACAGAAATTGCTAGGAAAGCTCAGGTCTGGCAGCATCTGAGGAATGAAAACAGAGTTAACATTTCAAGTCAAATAACCCTTCCTCTTCACTCGACCTGAAACGTTAATTCCGATTTCTCTCCACAGATACTGCCAGACTTGTTGAGCTTTGCCAGCTATTTTATTTTTGTCTGATTTACAGCATCTGCAGCTCATTCCGTTTTTAAACCAATAACCTTGTTTTTCACGGTTTCAGCTACAACAGGGCAATTGTGAAATTGAGGCACCTTTTAATATGGGCTTTGAAAGGTGGAAGAAAACCCTATCAGCACCTCCCCCCCCCCCCCCCACCCCCCACCACCCCCCACCTCACCCAGGCCGAATTCTACCTTTTGATCTTCCTATAAGCCAAATGAGTAGCTCTCACAGAGAGCTCCTGCAGCGACATCAGCATTCTAAAATTTTTAAACAATGGTAATTTGCTGTTTTATTTGCAAATTATCACTTTGAAGCTCTTTTAAATCATTCACTTCAAACCTGAAACATTTGTGTTCGGTCCCTACATCATTTCAAACCTCTGTTTTAATACCTATAAATGACCGCTATCTGTAGACTCAAGGGGCCACCCACTGTTGGGAATAGTGATGATCAATTCATATTGGCTTAAAAGCCTGCCCTATGACCTTACTAGAGAAACACCATGACAGGTTCAAAAGTAGACAAGCGAGAGTAATTTCCTACTGCCTACCTGGATAATGGAGTTGGTGAATTGGGATGTACACGAACTGCTCTCCACTGACTCTTCTGAAGTGGTGGTGGGGGGGAGAAAAGAAAGATACCAATCTGAATAGACATACAATTACAATCAGAACAAAATGGCTGAAGAAGAGGAAAATAATATAAACAGCTTTAAAAGGAGACAAAATAAAAATCTGAGGTATACAGACTTTATATAGGCATTTTTTTTTACAGAAAGCATCATTTTCACTGCAAGCAGTATTGGTTACATAGATATGAGGGGCAACTTTTTTTTTTACAGAGTGATTCATATGTGGAATGAACTGCCAGAGAAAGTGGTGGATGCAGGTACAGTTACAACATCTAAAAGACATTTGAATAAGTACATGAGTAGGAAAGGTTTGGAGGGATATGGGCCAAATGCAGGCAGGTGGGACTAGTTTCATTTGGGAACATGGTCAGCAAGGACTAGTTGGACTGAAAGGTCCGTTTCCATGCTGTATGACTCTGACTCTGGCTCTAACTGTGAGACCCAGGCAGCAAAGTGCACGAGAAGATTAATAACTCACATCAAATCATTTATCTTAGATTAAAAAATGCCGAGCTTGCGACAAACATACCATATAGATTGCAATCCCTGGTCAACAGGATAATTATCCACTACAGAGGCAGAGATAGAGAATGCAGCAGCCAACACTCATTACCGGGCATGGTGAACACTGCAACAGTGGAGGCTCACAGACACATTTTAGCATCACTTTTCTTTCCTGTTCAGCTCTTCATTGGCATACAGCCAATATTAATTAACACTCATCAAAACAGCCACCAGTCAAGCTGTGATTAGAGAAACTAGACATACTGCAGCTAGTAACTCACCTCCTGACTCCCCCAAAGCCTGTCCACTACCTACAAGACACAAGTCAGGAGTGTGATGGAATACTGCCCACTTGCCTGGATGATTGTATTTCCAACAACACACAAAGTTGATATCATCCACGACAGAGCAGCCCACTCGACTGCTGTTACATCCACAAGCATCCACACTCTCCACCACCAATGCTCAGTAGCAGCAGCGTGTACCACTTACAAGATGCAACGCAGAAATTCACCAAGACTCATGTGACATCACCTTCCAAACCCATGACCACTACCATCTGGAAGAACAAAGGCAGAAGACACATGGGAACACCATCATCTGCAAATTTCCATCCAAGCCATATCATCCTGACTTGGAAATATATCACTGTTCCTTCACTGTCACTGGGTCAAAGTCATGGAACTCCCTCCCTAACAGGTCTGTGAAGCTACCTACACCAAATGAACCGCAGCAGTTCAAGACGACAGCTTACCATCATGCTCTCAAAGGCAACTCGGGATAGGTTACAAATACTGGTCCAGTCAGTGATTCCCAAATCCCATTAACAAATAAAAAAATGTCTGTCATCTCTGGGATCACCCTGGTGGTGATGCTTCAGTTTTGATAGATTTAAAGGAATGCTCTGGAATTACTGACGTTTCCAAAATGTGGAATGGGTGCTGTGATTCCCTTTTGATGATTAAGATACAGCAAAACACAGCAAATAGAGAAAGAGTCCTGCCGCAGCTTTGTTCTTTGGGTTAGTCCATACATACCTTCTCCATGTGCACCAGGTGACAATTCAGGAGCGTAAACCTCTTCAGTTACTGGGGTATTCTCCAGATCCTATGAGCAAGCAATTTATCAGACTAGCAGATTAAGTTATCATTTAGAGTGAGACATATTTTAATAATTTTTTTTGGATTATTGTGCCATTAAGGTGGGGAATTTTAGTTCTGAGGGATGAGACTCTTTTTATTCTGGTGCCAATCTTCAACACTGCCAGGCTCTCCCCAGCATCACAAAAGCAAATCCCAGCAATCCCCCTCCTCCACTACACCACTGCGCACACCAGTCGACCTGTGGTCTTTCGCAGTGAAATTACAAGTGCCAATGACGTCGTGAGCCCCATCCCTCGCCAAACCAGGACTTTGACATCAAAAACAATGCATGACCATCAACGCAACTGCCACAGGAACTTCCATTGATCAGTCAGGATTTGAACACTTGGAGACAATAAGGATTGTAAATGTTGAAAGCCAGAGTCTGTAGGTGTGAGGCTGGAAAAGCACAGCAGGTCAGACAGCATCCGAGGAGCAGGAAAGTCAACGTTTCGGCAGGAAACCCTTTGTCAGTTTTCGGCCTGAAACACTGACTTAAGTGCTCCTCGGATGCTATCCAATCTGCTGTGCCTTTCCAGCCTCACACTATAGACTCTAGGATTTGAACATCTTAACTAACAGGTGAGCGAGTTGCATGTATCTCACTATATCACCTTTTCTCACACAGTTAAAAACTTGGAAAGTAAATTTAAATTTAGCATTCCCTTAGCTCCTGGAATTTAAGCTTCATCCTGATTTAGGAATTTACTGTGAATTGACAATGCAGGTTCACAAGACAGTCTGCATGATTGATTGGCATGTATTTATCAAATTTTCTGTTTCATCCCACTGTCAAACTCATGAAGAGGCTTAGCGGACCACAGACTGAAGCCCTACCTTGACAGTTAGTGCTTCTAAGTCACTGTCACTTGGATACAGATCTTGTGCAATCAGAATGAGTAAGAGCAAGTCTGAAGTTCTCAGGGAGCTGGCATTACGACTGTGGGGTGGATAGATAGAGAAGACAGTAAGTAGGTATTTCTAGAAAATAAATAAATGTGGTGATTAGATATTAAGTATTCATTTTGAATTTGAATCACTAATCTTGCATAATTGCTGGTTTTTAAGTACAAAATTCAGTGAGCATGTACTGTTTATGTCACATCTTTATGCAAATTAACATGACTTTCAAATCTGGAAGTATAATGTATAATGCTTTGCTAAAGTGAGTCCATGTTCACAGTGACCATATTCAACAACACATTGCGCTCAGATGGGAATGTAATTGGAATACTGGACTGTAGAACAGCATCACAGTGACCTGGTTGAGATGTGCCCAGTTATGCTCGTGAACAAAATGAGATCATGTGGGTGAGGTACCAAATGCTGTGTAAGAGTCAAAAGGAAAGCTGGGGCAACAAAAATACCAATGGGTGACCTGAAGCTTATTAAAATGTGAGTAATCTCAAAAGTTAGCACTTTTAGCACTTGCTTCCCCATTTGGTTATTATTTCATTTATGTTATCAAACTAACTCATTTGCTCTCTTATAACTGTAAAGCAATACTTTCTAGGCTAGAGATGAAGTTTGAAAGAGTGCAGAGAAAACAGGAGGAAGCTTTAACTGACAAAACTTTAAAAATACAAGCTACTGGTTATAATCTCAAACAAAAAAATGTGTGGTATACCGTGTGAATATTTATAGACCCTCACAAGACACTGACACCTTTCTTTTCCTTTCGCCATCCCAGGGCTCTTTTCAAGACACTGGTACTTTCTTAGGTACAATTCAATAGACGATCACCAGACCATATAAAGTGACTGCCTTCCATGATTTTTTTCGTCAATATATCCGAGTCATTGACATATAAGCACACATGACGTGTCTTAGGACTGCTCATACATTTGGACCTCAGCTGGGTCCAATCCTTTTTCTCACCTGATAACTATATACTTTAAACAGGAGTAAGTGAGTGGCAAAGAACCAGAGAAAATATTGCCAATTACCTCCTTCCTAATCCAGGCATGACAAGCCCAAAGTAATTTCCCTACCAGCACCATGGATGAAATCAATTAACTACGAACAAGATAGAGACAAATGGAGGTTTCTCCAGTTTTGTGCAGTTCAGCTACTCACTAAAATAAGCATTTTGATATGAAAACAAGAGAGAACGCAATTTTGTCACAAAACACATCACCTTGAAAAGAATGCCAGAAGTTTAGTGTGTACTAGGATAAAAGTGTGCACCACTTCCTCATTCGCCCTCTCCATACTGCTGTTTATCTGCTGGACTACCTGTCGATCCAAGAACTCAATGCACTGTTCACACAACTGAGGGTGGATCAGTCGCTCCACAGCCTAATGAAAGAAAACACTGAGTCAGTATTAGTGCAGAGTTACTCTTACTGCCCGACTCCTTCTCCTGCAAATACCTCACTGTTTAGCACTATCATTAATTCTGGGTGGTTATACTTCCACATTTTAACCAGAAGCTCATCTTTCTGGTGTTTTTCTGGATAGTAAGCCATTTGTGCATGGAGGGGCGACAGCAGGGAGAAGAATGGTAGAAGGACATTGCCAGATCAAATAGTGTTCACATACAAGTGCAGAAACAACAAACATTCCTAGCATCACTAAACAGTGCCTGGAATGGGACAATGAATAATGTCTCACATCCCTGAGAGAGTACTGTGCTGTTGGATAGATATTCCTTCAGATGAGACATTAAATCCACCTCCTAGGTGTTTGCAAAAGATCCAGTGCCATTGTTTCAAAGAAGAAATAGCAGGAAAAAGAAGTCCCTGGTGGGAGTAATCCATAAGTCCCACAATAGTAGTTCCACAGTAGGCACAGTGTAAACCAGGAAGTACTAGGGACTTGTAATAAAGGTATGACAACAATCGTGGGTGATTTTAATATATGCACATAGACGAGATTGATCAAATTAGCAAGGGTAGCCTCAAGGGAGAGTTCAAGAAGTATATGAGAGACTGCTACTTGGTTCACTAATGTCCTTTAGGGAAGGAAACTGCCATCCTTACCTGGTCTGGCCTACACGTAACTCCAGACCCACAGCAAAGTGGTTGACTCTTAGCTGCCCTCTGGGCAATTAGGGATGGGCAATAAATGCTGGCCTAGACAGCAACACCATCATCTCGTGAATGAATAAAGGAGCAATGCTTTAGGAAACCAACCAGGTTATTTTAGATTTAGTATTGTATAATGAGACAGGATTAATAAATGATAGGTTAAGTGCAGGTTAGGTGGATTGGCCATGCTAAATTGCCTGTAGTATTCAGGGATTTGCAGGCTAGGTGGATTAGCCATGGGAAATGCAGGGTTATAGGGATGGATGAGGGCGTGGGTGTGGGTGGGATGCTCTTCAGAGAGGCAGCGTGGACTCGATGGACCAAGTGGCTTGCTTCCACACTGTAGGGATTCTATGATTCTAAATTATCTCATTGTAAAGGATTCTATAATTCGATAACCCTCTAGGGAAGCACGATGGAATTTCAAGTTCAACCTGAGGACAAGAAACTTTAGTCCCACACTAGTGTTTTTTAGGAAACCTAGTCAGCATGGATGTGTTGGGCCGAAGGGCCTGTTTTTGTGCTGTATGACTGTACAAGGTAATTACAGGCAGTCCCCTGGTCACAAACAGGTTCCGTTCTTGAGTACACCTGTTAGTCAATTTGTACACAAGTCACAACACAGTACAGTATAATCTAAAATAGCAGCTTGCAAGTATATGCAAATATTCGCATGTCGGATATTTAAAATTAATATTACTATGTGATATCACTCATAAGCATGAGTGTTTGTAAGTTGGGGATGCTCTGTATACGGGCATGAAGACAGAGTTTGCTCTAATGAACCAGGCAGAAAGACAAAATTACAGGACATCTGGTGAACAGCAGCAGATATTTAAGGAGATATTGAATTCTCTAAAATATATTCCAGAGAGGAAAAAAAGTTGTAAGAGGGGGAGAAAACATTTATAGCTAAGCACGCAAGTTAAAGATAACATAAAGGCAAAAACCAAGGCATATCATATTGCAAAGACCAGTGGCAAGCTGGAGGATTGGGATACTTTTAAAGACCAATAAAGGGTTATTAAAAAGTATAAAACGAGCAAAGTTTAATTATGGAAAGAAAATTAGCGCAAAATGTAAAGATGGACAGCAAAATCTTCTATAATATATAAAAAGAGAGTAGCTAAAGTGAATGTGGGTCCCTTATAGGATGAGACTGGGCACTTAATAACACAGAAATGACAAGGGATACAAAATCAATATTTGCGTCAGTTTTCACAACAGAGGACACTGAAACCATCCCTCAACAGTAACAGATGATTCAGAGGTTATAAAAAAAACTTAAAACAATTGCTATCACTATGGAGAAAGTACTGACCAAACAATTGGGATTAAAGGTAGACAAGTCCCCAGGGCCTGACAGTCTACATCCTAAGGCTTTAAAGGAGCTGGCAACAGAGATAGTTGATGCATTGGTTACAATATTTCAAAATTCCTCAAATTCAAGAAAGGTGTGAATGGATTGAAAAAGTGCTAACATAATGCCCTTGTTCAAAACGGAAGTGAGACAGACAGTACAAAAATTCATTACTGTTAGTTTAATGTCTATTCTTGGGAAATTGTTGTAATCAATTCTGGAATGGGACAGTTGCAAAGTCAAAATGCAATCCCACGAGAGTCAGCATACGTTTATGAAGGGTAAATCATGTTTGACTAATTTGTTTGAGCTTTTCAAAATTGTAACAAGCAAAGTGGATAATGCGGGTCCTGTAAATGTAGTATATCTGGAATTCCAGAAGATATTTGATATGGCACTGCACAACAGGTTAATATACAAGGTTAAGATCACGTAGGGTTAGGGGTAATATATTAGCTTGCTTAGAGGATTGGTAAACTGGTTGACAAGCTGTAATTACTGGGGTGCCACAAGGTCCAGTCCTCAGGCCAAACAATTTAGAATCAACATTAATGACTTGGATGCAGGGATAGAATGTATTGTAGCCAAATTTGCAAATGACCTTAAAATAGGTGGGGAGTTAGGTTGCAATGAAGAAATATACAAATGGGTATGGATAGGTTAGGTGAATGGTCCAAATTTGGCAGGGGAAGTTGAACTTGGATAAGTGTGAGCTTATCCCATTTCGGAAGAATAAAAAGGCAACTTATTATGTAAATAGAAAGAAACTTCAAAATGCTCTAGTGCAGAGGGATCTGGGTGTCTTCATGTATGAGTGTCAGCAAGCTAGTATGCGGGCATAGGGAGGGAAAATGGAATGTTGGGATTTATTGTTAAAGGAATGGAGTATAAAAGGAAGGAAGTGTTGATGCAATTGTACAAGGAATTGGTCAGATCATGACTGGAGTACTGTATAGAGTTTTGGTCACTTAACTCAAAGAAGGATGTAATTGCATTGCAGACTGTTCAGAGAAGGTTCGCTAGATTAATTGCAGAGATGAAAAACTTCTCTTATGAGGAGAGACTGAGCAGTTTAGGCCCATGCTCCCTGGAGTTTAGAAGGGTGAGAGGAGATCTAATTGAAGTATATAAGATACTAAAGAAGATTGACAAATTGGATGTGGGACAGATGTTTCTCTAGTGGGGGCACTTTAGAATAAGAAGTCATAGTTTTAGGCTAAGGAGTACCAGATTTAAAACAGAGATGAGGAATTACTTCTCTCAAAGGGTCACAAATCTGAAATTCACTATCCTGGGGTGCGGTGGACACAGGAACACTGAATAAATTTGAGGAGATAGACAGATTTTTAATTGGCAATGGGTTAAAGGATTATGAGAAACAGGAAGGAAACTGGAGTTAAGGCCAAGGTGAGATGGGCCATGATAATATTAAATGGTGGAACAGGCTGAAGGGTCTGATTTGCCTACTTCTGTTCCCAGTTCTTACAGTCTTTATGAGCTGGAGAGTTCTCCTCAGAGACCTGGCAAATATTTGTCTCTCAACTAACATCATAAAAAAAACTCGCCTGAGTCATCTAGTCAGGGTTGGAATCCCAGTTTACACAGAAAGTTGTCCATTTACCTTTTCAGGAGTTTTCTGCCCAGACTTCTAAGACAAGAGTCTTTGTAACCAAAGTGGTCCAGCAAAGCACTCAGTAAGCAGCAGTATGGATCATCGCAGAATCCACAAAAGTAGATGCTGTATTCCATATTTAAAAGTCCTAGTACAACTTTGATGGGTAAATGTATGAAAAGGTAGAGCAGGTCAGATATGAGATTGAGGTGGGGGAGTTAGGCATTTGTCAGGTGTCCAAGTGTCAGGCGATGAGTGTGACAGGTGGTTGGGTGTTCAACAGGTGCTGTATCAGCAGACTGAGGCAGGAAGCAGTCAGCTTCTTTATTGGAGGAAGTTTCAATCCTCTAACTTTTTCTGGCTAACTACTGAGGTCTATCAGAATACTCCAACGTCTTCAACTTTAACTCAAGATTTGGGGACTTTATCACAAAGTTCCAGGTGCCAAATAACAGCCTACTAGAAGTTTAAACTTCCCAGGCACTCACTGCATCGTCAGCGCTCCAGGACTTCTGAGAGGTCCTTTCGCTCATCTTTCAGAGAACATTTGGTCTCTGAATATCCACAAATTAGAAGTTCTAGGCGATTATCTACAGATGAGTTTTGGGAGCTTGCTGTGCACAAATTGGCTGCCATGTGTCCGACATTATTAGTGACTACAGTTCAAAAATACTTCGTTGATTGTAAATACTTTGGGAAACTGTGAGATGGCAAAAGGGGTCGTAGACGCAAGTCTTTCTTGTAAGCCAAACAATCATACAAAGTCAAGTCACCCATTGTGGAAACACTATTATCACAAGAATCACAATGGTTCAAGGAATCCTCACACTCTCAGAGACGGGCAGTAAACTGGATTCACTGACATCCTAAAGACCATTACTTAATGGATTTCTGACAGAGTGTTAGCTGGCGATACAAACTAGATCTCAGCCAAGCTTGACTCTGCCCACCTTTCATACAGGGCATCATAATACACCTCCCTAAATCACAAACAGTTTTGCTACTGTTAGCTGATTCAACACAGATTGGAAATTAGAATTCTGTTTCTCTAGCCTGTGTAGCTCTGCCTTCCCCATTGAAAGACTTTTAACCACTTGGCCAGCAGAGGAGCTCCTACGTAATAGGTCTTCAAAATGCCACTGATAACAGCAATGTTGCATCACCTCCACAAGGAAACTCTGGTCTTCCTCCCTCAGATGGCTGTAAGTAATTAACAGATTTTGCAACATCTTCCAAACCTTCAACCGTTGTTCTGTATCTTGTGGTCTCAATCTAAGAAGGCAGAGAAAGGCTTTGTTAAGGGACCACTTGCAAAGGTACAGCAAACCTCTTGGAAGGAATCGAGTAAATATTTTAATAGGTGAAGCTAAAACGATGAACTACACTCTTGGTAAATTCCTGGCCAGATTCCATTGTTAATCGAGTAAAAGCTAAGTTGCTTACTTGAGGAATCTTATTTTGTTTGCTACATGCAATAAAATTTAAATCATTGTTTCAGTATTTTGGTTGTCTGTGGGATTTCTTAATAAGAAGTCAAATTAAAGGTAACATGTAGTGATTTACCTCCATGGAATCATGTTCAGTATGGACTGCTTGAACCCAAAGGTTCTGTTTCCATGCTGTATGACTCTACGGCTCTATAACAGTATTTATGCCACCCATCTCAACTACTCAACGTGATACCTGGTTTTGTATCCACACCACTCTAAGTTTAAAAAAATAGTATCCTGAATTCCCTGTTGGATTTACTAGTTACAATTTTATAGTTAAGACCTTTAGATTCCCCACGAATGAAAATGTTTTCTCTATACAGCTGTTTAAGGCTTTCAGTTATTCAACCACCCAGAGCAGAAGTTTCCAAATTCATGCACTGGTCCAAGCAAACTTAGCTGAATGTAGAGAGGAAGTTTTGTTTTGACCTCAACAGCCAAGCTTGAGTAGCTAAATGGCCTACTACGGAAGCTATTCAGACAAAGCAGTGTTGGTAAGACAGAAGCAGCAAACTTCCATTTCTCCAAAATAAAGCTAAAAAAAGGGAAGAAAACAGAAATGCAATTCAGCATGTACAATTCTTCATACATTGAGAAACTCTACATGTTATATGATCCACATCTACTCTCCTGAGGGGAAGGTCAGAGACCAATTCTCCAGAGACTCTTCCTTCGCTGAGATCTCCTTGAGATTTTCCATGTTTCTTTTAAATCTGATGATGATAGAATCCCTACAGTGTGGACACAGGCCCTTCAGCCCCACAAGTCCACACTGACCCTGAGAGTATCCTACCCAGACCCATCCCCCTATAATCCACCTAATCTACACATCCCTGAACTCTATGGGCAATTTAGCACGGCCAATCCACCCTAACCTGCACACCTTTGGACTGTGGGAGGATACTGGAGCACCCGAAGGAAACCCACGCAGACAGTCGCCCGAGGCTGGAATCACACCCGGGTCCCTGGCTCTGTGAGGCAACAGTGCTAATCACTGAGGATCTCTCCTAGAAGATTATGTTTGCAAAGTCTCTAGGCACAATGTTCCAGACTTGAGTATTTGGGTTGAATTGGATGGACCAGTCAATCATTTCCTAGACATCATTTTGATATGTTCATTTAAAGAACTAATTTCACTAGAGCAATGAAGGTCAAGAGGAGATTTAATAGAGGTTTTTTTTTTTACAGTTGAGGACTTTTTTTTATGAAATGAATAAGCAAAGACAATTTTCCCCTAACAAAACCATCATTGATGGGGGAATTAGGGGTCACCAGTTTGTCACAAGAGTTTATGAGAAAGAGTCACTGCATCTTCCAATGGAAGACTGAATATATGTTTGTAGCAAAAGGAGATACAGAACTTTGGGGAGAGAGAAAGGTTGTAGTTTGACTTTGGATTGTTCTAACATTGAGCAGAGACAGACATAACAGGCTGATAAGTCTGGTTCTGTGTTGTACATGTCTATTGTTCGAAGGATATTTGTTTCAATGTACAATTTGTTTTAAAGCCTAATTTGCTAAATTTGAACGAGGAAGTTCTTTCTCAAGGTTATGTCAACATAATGGATAGTACTGGACTGGCAACCCAAAGGTCATGAGTTATGGTTGAATCAGAGATAGTAGGAACTGCAGATGCTGGAGAATCCGAGACAACAAGATGCAGGGCTGGATGAACACAGCAGGCCAAGCAGCATCATAGGAGCAGAGTTATAATCCCATTGCACAATTTGTTAAAGTGAATTAAATAAATCTTATATGTTGTGGACCAGCACCATGAAAATCACCTGAAAACTGCCAAACTGATTTAAAAACCCAACTCATTGCTAATCCTTCAGGAGCAGGGCCCTAACACCCATTTCTGCTTTGGTCTACAGCTGGGTTTCTAATAGGGATACCACAATTAGGGATGGGCAGTAAATATTACATTCAGTGTTACCCAAAATCCAGAAAACTAAAAAACTGTAGCTGTAAGCCAAATGTTTTCTCTCACAAAATTATAGCTAACTAATACTTCCCTTTTTCAAAGTATACTCACTTCTTTATTTTTGACTTCTCATGTTGCATTTTCAATTGAATTATTGCATATATATAACCTCTTATCATGTCAAAGAATCTGCAATATCTTGCACACACTAATTTTTAATGCAAAGACTGTTACTTAGAGAAAAAACAAAGGCTGGCTTGTTTCCTAAGCCCCGCAATTCTGCAGCCAGTTGTTAAGAAGTTCATAACAGACGTGAAAAGAATGCTTCCCAGTTTCACTGTCTGCCAATTGGCAACAATTGCCCTTTCCCTTTGCAGTAAAACAAAGGTCAGGTACTAAACTCATAATTAATAACCAACATTCAAGTCAGCCTCTGCATCTGTGCTACATAACCTAGTGCCACTACACAAAAAATACTTCTTTCCACCTATATTCTGCTCTTCGTCCTTTTTCAGAAATTCCTTTTGGCATATGGTTCCATGTCCCTCCTGACATTCACCCAAACAGCCTTCCTTCATGTGTGAGTCTATAGAGTACTGGGAGACAAATATCAAAGTTAATTATACAAGTCTACTTAAATAATGGAACCTTGTAAGAACCAAGGGTCAATCAGAGTACATTCAAATATAGGACAGGAGATTGGCAATTTTCTGCTCATATGTCTGCTAATTCTAACTATTCCTCTTGGGTTTTTAAATCCGATTAGTCATTTACCCAATGAATAAATAATTTTCTGACTGGTGCATCATTGATGGGCGGTTGGGAGTCATCAGTTTTGCCACAAGACTCTTTGGAACAGAGCCAACATGTCAAAGCCATACCAAGTTACACAGAGTCCACAACCAGATACAGGCTGTTCAGCCCAGCTGGTTCATGCCTGTTCTAATGCTCCACTCAAGTCTTCACCTCACTCTATCAATATATCCGTTAGTCCTTTCTCCTTCATGTACTTATCTAACTTCCCCCTAAATATATTGTGACAATGTAAACTTCACAACTTTAGTAACTGTTCATGGACTGAATGATTCAACAAAGAAAAACTGTTAAACATGGAAAGAATCAGCAATAAATTTTCTCGAATAAACTGTTCTCGAGATGAAAGGGACAAGAAGAAACTGTTACAAAAGGGATTGAAAGCAACATGTGAATTAGCCATCTCTGTAAAGGAGTTGAAGCAACATAAACAATGTGTCTCCTGGAAGAAAAGAGATAACAAACTGCTTTGACACTTGCTTGGTAAACTGGATGCTTTATTCCCTTAAGGACAACTGACAGCTTGCAGAAGCATTTAAGGGGTTAACTGCAGGGAAAGCTGTGTTTTAAGCGGACAGCTAACTCCAAATGTAGAAAGGAACAGAAGGACTACTTCTGATAAGGAGGCAAGCTACAGACTTGAGGTCTCTGAAAGTTTAATCAATGCTCGGGATGAAAAAATCTATTGAATCATCGATAATGTCACGTTGCAAACTTGAAGGAGAGAAAATTGTACAAGAATCCAACACCAGAACAAGTCAGTAGCAGGACTCTTAAAAACAACACTGCATAAGGATCAAACCCCGGACATTTCCAGAGACAGACACTCTTGGTAAATTCCTGGCCAGATTCCATTATTAGTTGAGTAAAAGCTAAGTTGCTTACTTGAGGAATTTTATTTTGCTTGCTACATGCAATAAAATTTAAATCATTGTTTCAGTATTTTAGTTGTCTGTGGGATTTCTTAATAAGAAGTCAAATTAAAGGTAACATGTAGTGATTTACCTCCATGGAATCATGTTCAGTATGGACTGCTTGAACCCAAAGGTTCTGTTTCCATGCTGTATGACTCTACGGCTCTATAACAGTATCTATGCCACTCATCTCAACTACTCAATGTGATACCTGGTTTTGTATCCACACCACTTTGAGTTTAAAAAAATAATATCCTGAATTCCCTGTTGGATTTACTAGTTAAAATTTTATAGTTAAGACCTTTAGATTCCCCACGAATGGAAATGTTTTCTCTACACAACTGTTTAAGGCTTTCAGTTATTCAACCACCCAGAGCAGAAGTTTCCAAATTCATGCACTGGTCCAAGCAAACTTAGCTGAATGTAGAGAGGAAGTTTTGTTTTGATATCAACAGCCAAGCTTGAGTAGCTAAATGGCCTACTCCTGTTCCTCCCACCTCCCTGGACTTTGCATAGAGGTTAAACTAACTATATTTTTAATCCAGTTCTGAGGAAGGGTCACCGGACCCGAAACGTTAACTCTGTTTTTACCTTCACAGATGCTGCCAGACCTGCTGAGTTTTTCCAGCAACTTCTGTTTTATTTCCTGGTTTACAGCGTTTGCAGTTCTTTCGTTTTTTTATTATGCATTTAATCAGGATGGGTCTTCAACAGGCCTTGTTGGAAGTTCATAAATCACAGGGACTGGCAAGCTTCAAAGATCCTACGATTAAAAAACCTACTGAATTCTATGCACCTGGAACCTGACCATACCGGAAGAAAATTCTGGAAGAGGAACAGAGTAAATTGCTACAAAATTCTATGTGAAACAAACAAATGTTACATACTTTTTCTTAAGGATACTTGTATCCAGAGTTACCAGACCAAAGCATACATCAATAATCTTCTTCAACACAAAAATTTTCCGTCTCAAATCATCTTCATTCTCTGAACCATCTCCATTCACTGCGACATATGTGCACTCCCCAAACTGAAGAAATCACAAACAAGCAAACTCAGATTAGTGAAGATTTCTCATTCTCAGAGAGCCTTTTAATCTGTAAAAATGAACAACGATTTACCGTGAAGCAACACGCTTGATCTTATTGATACTGAAATCACTAACTTTGAAATATTACCATCAGAACGCTGCTAATTGATAAACATGAGATGAGCCCCCCAAAGCACTGTGCGTCAGGACTCACAGACAAGTGCAGTCTTCAGGTCAAATGGGGTTAGAAAGTGAGGGATGAGTTGAACAGCCATGCAAGGACGTGATAATGGAGATCAGAGAGTAAGGTAAAGGAGGGATTCAAAGAACAATACAGCAATATGAGGTGCAGAAGAAGGTGAAAGAGGGCTACAAGGAAGGGTAGCAAGAGATAAGGTAAGGATTAGTTGGAGCATAAAGGAAATGAAGGTTTAGGGATAAGGAGGAAGATAATAGTTAGATGCTGGTGAGGGGAGCAAAAGCAGAATGGGGAATTGGCAAAGAGCAAAGTAGCCCATAGTAATATATAGCAGAGAGCCTAGGGTGGGGGTGGGCATGGTATGAAAGAGAATCAAAGGCTGCCAGAGTAAGTGATTTGGAATAGGACTAAGAGAATAATCTTGCAGACAACAATAGGATAGGAAGCATAGTAAATAATTCCAAGGATTAAACATCTCTTCAAATAATCTACAATGTAAAACTTTCCTAATTTTTCTAAGTGTTTCCTCAGAGCCATTGGCAATGCAGTGAAAGTGATGGAACACTGCTTTTTATAATCCAACTTCCCATCATGTTGTTGAACTCCCAAGCACAGCTACAGTGAGGTAGGGGGAAGAATTAAGGCTGAGGAAATTCGGCATGTCCACGATGGCCGTTAGCAATTTTTATAGATGTACCATAGGAAGCATCCTATCCAGATGCATCACAGCTTGATATGGCAATCGGTCTGCCCAAGACCTCAAGAAAAGTTGTAGAGAGTTATGAACGCAGCCCAGTCCACCCACTGACTCTGTCTACTCTTCCTGCTGCCTCGGGGAAAGCAGCCAATATAATCAAAGACCCCTCCCACCCTGGTTACACTCTCTTCCATCAGGCAAAAGACAGAAAAGTTTGAAAACAGTACCAACAGATTCAAGAACATGATAACCTCACTGTTATCAGACTTATAAACAGACCTCTCATACATTAGAGTTGATCTTTCTCTGCACCTTCTCTGTAGCTGTAACACTATATTCTGCATTCTCTTTTAATACTCTGATGTACTTATGTAAGGTAGGATTTGTCTGGTTAGCATGCAAAACAATACTTTTCATTGTATTTCAGTACACGTGATAATGATAAATCAAATCGGATCGAGTTTAGCAATGGGCAGGGATAGAAATAATAGTGATCGCTTACTAATGAGTCCTTTGTCAGACATTCAGAAGTAGATAGTTTGAACAGAGATTCATGAAGGGATTAAAACACCACCCTTTGCTTTTCTGTTATATAGTCTGGGTTTAGAAAGAATGCTTGGGAAAACGTGAAACATTAAGTTAGACAACAAAGACAATAATCAACTATATTGATTGACTGTTATTGGACATGATGTGGAGGTGCCGGTGTTGGACTGAGGTGGACAAAGTCAGAAGTCACACAACATTACTCCTTTACCAGCACAGATTTCAAATAAACTTGTTGGACTATAACCTGGCGTCATGTTATTGGTCATCGATCACATTTATGCATACAGCATGCATACCAGACAAAAAGAGCAATCTTTTAAAATCCACCAGAGCTTGAAACTGTGGATTATTACGCAGAACACTAAATCCCTTACCTGGTGCAGTACAAAGAGGTAGTTGTTCTCACTAACGAAAGAAGTGTACGTGTCCGAGATCTTCTCATTCAGGGTAATGCAGGAAATGAGAAGTGGTGCAAATAGTGTGTTTATGCTGTCTTCAAAGGCTGGAGACATCTGGAAACACAGGAAACAATTCATCTTTATTATAAGAACAAAAGAAATAGGAGATGGAGTAGGTCATTCAGTCCCTTTAAGCTTACTTTGCTATTTGATAAGATTGTAGCTGATTCTCTACCTCAGCACTACCTTCTCAACCTATCCCCGTATTCCTCAATTACCTTGGTGCCCAAATTATAAAATTTGCAGTTACATTTTCAGTTTTAAATTTTTGCTCCATTTTTCCCCAGCTGAAGAGTCAGAAGACTGTGGTTTCAAACCTGACATAACTTACATGCTGAGGGAATGTCTGAGATAAGAAACTAAATTAATGGTGCATCTACCTGTTCAGATAGCATTGAAGACAAATGCAAACAATGACTGACAAGAAAAGATTCCATCATCCTGCCAGTCTATCCCACTGAACTGCAATGCCATCTGCATCACAATATGTATATGGTACTGTTTATCCAAATCAATAGCAATGGAATCTCCTGAGAGGTGAAAAATCAGAATACAAATAATTGTGGAAGGAATGTACAAAATTCCTTTCTTTGACAATCAAAGCTAGTATAGGGGTAAGCTCTGTCCCTGAATAATTTCATAGAAAATCTACCTTTTGTACAGAATAATCACAAAACTAGCCAGAAAAAGGTCTAACTCTTGTTTGATCCCAACATTTTATTAGTATCAATCTAATGCCCTGATTAACTCTTTGTGCTCAAGTTGGTAACTTTATGTTACCTTACAAAGTTGGACTCGCCAAAACTCCCAAGATAACACCTTCTAAACCCACATTCTCGCCTATCCACAAGAACCAGCAGGTGCACTGCAAATTCCCCTTCAAGCCATACACCATGCTCACTTGGACACATATCACCATTCTTTCACTGTCACTGAGTCAAAATCCCTGGAACTCCCATCCTAAGAGTCCTGTGGTTCTCACTACCCCATACAGACTGCAGCAGTTCAAAGCGGGATGGGCAATAATTTGTGGCCTTGCCAGCAATGTTCACATTGTGGCTAAAATAATAAAATGGCTTCCCCATGAAACAGTAACCACACTTTATTCATTGTGAAGAGTCTTGGGATGTTGTCACTTAAAGATGGTGATTTCCGAACACAATGTATATAGTTCCACCAGTGTCCTTTCTTCCATTACATTACTCAGGTGTTCACAGTTAATAAACTGTAAGGAACAGCTCAACCTAAGTTCCTTCACGCAAACTCCCAGAAAGAGGCCATTGGATAATAGTCAGGGCTAAGTACAATATTCAATTAGTCACCAAAAAGAGTGACACTGTAAAATCACAATCAGTCAAATTGAAAGGGCCCACTCAGAAATTCATGCTAAGCGAAACTTTGAGATAATCGAGGAAGTCCCTATGTAACCTGATTTTACCACTATTAAGTTCTACATTAAAAAGAAATGCAAATGTAAACAGTGATGCAGAAAATATGCAAGGAATATCAATTTGTTCACATGTTACAATGGGCTTACAATACCTTGTACAACAAAAGGCTTTGAAAACATGGAATTTAGCTCTGGGAATACTCAGTAATCTTTTTCTACTTAGTGCATGTCTCTCATGATGCTGATGCAGTCCAGCATGGCATCAATTTAGTCAAGCATGTCTTCCATGTTCTCATGCTGCAGGGTGAAATCCTGGAGGTCTATGGTCTTTGCAACTTCACAAAAAGTGAGTCAGTGGATGGGCATTCATTAAAGTCTTCAGGGGGATCAGCCTCCTTGGTTGAAGAACTCACTGCATACACTGTAGACTGCGCAAAGGCTCTTGTGGTGCAGTGACAGGGTTCCTACCTCTGAGCCAGGCATGAGGCTAGGGGTCAAGGTCCATCTGCTCCAGAGGCATATAACATTTCTGAACCAGTTAATTTTTAAAATTAAATCTGCAAACAGTCAGCTTTAATTCGCATCAAGATTAAAAGGGATATTTTGGTGCATACTCGTTCAGGAAGTAGGTGAGATCATTTTGCATCCAATCATCTGTCATTGCTGCCATAACTGTTACAGCCCCACCACTCAACTCAAGAAAGACTTTGCCTTGTCTTTTCCTGAATCAGTCCAGCCATCCACTGCTGCAGATGAACTCCGTGTGACACAGCTCCTTTGCCGGTGAAACTGCCTTTTCCTACATGATCGAACTGGAGAAGGGAATGTTCTCTGCTCAAGCTGCCTTCAACCAAGTCAACAAAGTTTCTTCAACATTGGGATTGGCAGCCGTTTTCACTCTCTTTCATGCTGGAGAGATTATCTGCTTGTCAACTGTCCCAAAATTTTCACCTTGTGTTTCAGAATAGTTGCCAAACTCGATGGTGGGATCTCTCACTCCTTAGCAACGTCCACTTTTGAGCTGCACTCCCGTTATTTCTCATGTGATGTAATAACTTCATTTTCTCCCCATGGCTAATTCCACTCTGGTTGTCACAAGCTAGCAGGTGTTTTGCTAATCTGGAGTTACCAGTTTAAAATTATGGCTTCTTTCTATTGGATTTGGTATTGACCGATATGAATGGCTGTGACACAACCAGAGCTTTGGGTCATGCTAATTCAACAGTCTGGCTGCCTCAGGTTGTATTTAATTTATTGCTTAACATATACAATCCAACCAGTTGAAGAAACATCTTTAATTGGCGTAACACCTTTTATGATGATCTGGTGATAATGTAACTGGTCTAGTAACCTAGAGGCCCAGGATCTGGAGACATGGCTTCAAATCCCACCACAGCATTTGGTGGAATTTAAATTCAAATAATAAAAAAATGCGGAATTGAAAACTAGTCTCAATATTGGTGACCACGTAACTAACACTGATTTCTGTAAAATCATTAATGGCACGGATTAAAGATGGCGACCTATACACATTTTACTGTATTTTCATAAATACATGTAACAATAAATTTCTGTATTATATACTATCATCATCAGCGATCCCTCACAGAAGAGGATGAATCTCTCCTACTCTCAGGGTGAGTCTGTAGGTGGCTGTATAGACTAATGCAGCTTCCACAAGCTCTGTTACACTTGGGGCAGAAGGTGGTTGCGGGAAGGGGTTGGGTGGAGCATTGCCGTGGTAGTGCTGGAGTGGAGCTAACTTACAGAACCTGTGGGAAATTATTCATCCTCCACTGCCTTCAAGCTAAAACCAAAGTCACCCCCAACTGATGTCATCGAGCTGCAGTACACGGATGATGCTTGTGTGTATGTGCAATCTCAGACCGTTGTCAGTATCTTTATGGAAGCATATAAGAGCATGGGCCTCACAGTTAACCTGCATAAGACGAAGGTCCTCCACCAACCTGGCCTGGCATCGTGCAGCAAACAGCCCATCAAGGTCCACAGGGAGGCCTTGGAGAATGTTGACCACCTCCAATACCTCAGGACTGTCCTGTCAGCTAAAGCAGCCATTGGGGAAAAGATCTAGCACCACCTCCAGTGTGCTAGCGTAGCCTTCAGCTGCCTGTAGGGTTCCGAGAACAACAACATCAGATCCAACACCAAGCTCATGGTTAACAGACCTGTGGTGGTTCCCACTGTCCTATATAGCTCTGAAACATGGACTTTCCACAGCAGACACTATATACTATAAAGTTCTGAGGAAGGGTCACCGGACCCGAAATGTTAACTCTGTTTTCTCCTTCACAGATGCTGCCAGACCTGCTGAGCTTTTCCAGCAACTTTGTCTTTGATCCTGATTTACAGCATCCGCAGTTCTTTTGGTTTTTACTATATACTATAAATGTTCTTTGGGAAAAGAAATCTTACCCAGTCTGGCCAACATTTGACTCCAGACCCACACCAATGTAGTTGACCCTTAACTGTCACCTGAAATGGCAATTAAGGATGGGCAACAAATGCTGACCTTGTCAGCAATGCCCACATCATATGAAAGAATAAAGAAGGAGTACTACCAGACATCATAAAATACTCTCCAAGCAATGAAATGTAATTACTGATGTAAAGAAAGAAACATTGCAAGCTCCCAGTAAACATCAGTATAATACTGTCCAGATAATTAGTTTCTGTGAATGTTAATTAAAGGTTAAATATTGTCCAAGACACTGGGCAACTCTCTTTGAAATGGTCCTATGGGATCTTTTACATCCACATGAGAGGACAGTGAGGCCCCAACCTAATGAGTCATATTGTCAAAACATCTAGAATGCATCACTTTGAAAAATGGCCACCAGCTTCCAGTACAGTGTAACTACACTCCACCCCAAGAGTTAATAGGCTGTCACCCTACAGTCCCCATTTTACCTCTCTGTGTTGCTCCAGCAAATTCTCGAATCGCTGCCTCAGGCTCACTTCAAATTCCAGGTCCGTCCAGTAAAAGAGGACCTGGGCACTCTCGCTGGCAATCAGCAGACACTTCATCGCTGTGGCTCCTAGTGTCCCTCAGTACAATCCAAACAAAACAAGCCAACCCCAAACCCTGCCATTAACCACTGCAGCAGCCCAGTCTGGCAACCACCAACACTATGACCCACTGGGACTCTGAATTCAGGTTATCTACTGGGGCTGAGGAACCCGATGACCCACTGGATTTAAGATCCTGATGACCCTCAGGATTTAGGACTGTGATGACTCACTGACCCTCAGAATCCCGATTACCTTCGAGCCACAATGACTGACCAAACTGTGGATCACAATTACCCACTGGAATTAGGCTTGCAATGACACACTGGATTGTGGATCCCAATGACACACTGATTTAGGGCCTTGGTGACCCACTGGATTCTGGGTCCCAGAGACCCGCTGATTTATGGTTGTGGTGACCCACTGGATCCCTATGACCCACTGGATTCTGAATCTTGGTGACCCACTAATTTAGGGATGTGGTAAGCCACTGGAATCTGGGTGCCAGTGACTCACTGATTTATTGTTGTGGTGACCCACTGGTTTAGGGATGTTGTGACCCAATGGATTCCGGACCCCGAAGATAATAAAAAGATCTCCAGTCAGGCCGCCCGACCCGCGGCCGCCGGATCCCCGCCTCTTCCAATCAGCGACGCCAGGTGACCCCGCCTCCTCCAATCAGCGACGCCCGACCTACCCGCCTTCCTCCTATTAGCGGCAACGGAACTCCAGTTTTGTCCAATCAGCGGCACCCGGACGTCCCACCCTCCCAATCAGATTAGAAGGGCGGGACGGGCTTGTCCAATCAATTCTCCCCAATTCTCCGGATTCACCAATGATTGGCGAACGCCTGTGCGCATTCTCAGTACTGTTATTGCTCACAGAGAACTTCCGGTCACTGAGCAAACCAGCAACTATCATGGAACAGAAAAGGCCGTTCAGCCCAAAAAGTGAAAGCCCATAGTAGGACACACTGAGAGAACAGATTTGGATTATATTACTAGGGGCACAACGGTATCTCTAGAAACTTTAGCTTCTGATACACTGAAAGAACATGAAAACATTTAGTGTCTGGGTCAGGTTTGACAAAAATTGTTGCTTAAAAAATTTTGTCTCGGTAAATCATTTATGAAAGGAAGCGCATTATTTCATAAAGCACCTTTTCCCAATCTTGAGAGCACCCCAAAGCACTTCACAGCCATTGTAGTGAAATACTGTGGAATGGCCACTTCACAAAGTTACAAACCAGCGTAAGCCTTCACTTTCTGCAGAGAAGCAGAATCGTGAAATTTCACAGCACAGAAGGAGCCCATCATGGCTGTTCCACCTTGATAAAAGAGCTCTATAATTTTCCCACTTCCACATCTTTTGCCCCAGTTCTGCAAAGATTTCCTTCTTAAGTATCTATCCAATTGCCTTTTGCAATTTCCTACAGGCTCCGCTTCCTCCATCCTTTCAGGGAGCACGTTCCAGATCACAACTTGAATCCAATCATCTCATCGCCTCCTTCTGTGTCTGGTAAAGGGGATGAGGATTAGGAAGGAGATAGGATGGAGAAAGGACAAGACAGGGAAGGGAAATCTTTCAAAAAACAATTAAAAAAACGTCATCCGATAAAATGAACAGACCACACCGACAGTGTTCTTGTAGTTACATTTATTCACTGACTCATGTTTACAGGAAGGTTCGCAATGCAAAGATGGGCATACACTGGGCTTCAGGTCATGTATGGGATCTTGTCAGCTTCTTACTGTAATACACAGCAACCATCCTCAAGCAGGAAAGCAGATTCACAAAGGGGTTGGTGGGGAAAAGACTGAAGAATCTAACACTGACAGAGGACAGCACTTCTCAAGTGTTGGAAATACAAACTAACACCATTCTTAGCTCCTTGTCAAATCAAAAATACTCAGGATACAGCCTGAATTGAACATTTTGTTCATGGATTGATTGAACAAGGTGCTTGCAATTGGTCTTTGGTCATGATTATCGAGATGGCCACTCAGCCCATCATGTGAGGCGCCTGTGCTCTTCTAAGTAAAATGTCTGTGACCCCATTCACTCATTCTTTACCTAACTGTTCCATTCAAGATTCATTGTTTAAAGCTGACTATGACTATACAGTAAGCATGAGACTTGCCTGACTTCTTCCAGCATATTCATTTATTCACTCATTGGCTCATTAGTATTCCCCATTGAATGTTAATGTGGTGAACTCACTTCACTCGATCATAGTAGTTACAGACAGTTTGACAAACGGAATTCTTTAATGCTGAGCCTTTGCTAATTCCATTGTCTGTTCAGTGGCAGTGAAAGTATTTCACTGATAAGGACATTGTGCCCTCCCCAGTTTAGTCCTCACTGCTATAACTTTTGAGATTGAACTGAGAGTTAATTAAGGACAATGATGGCTGTGTAATCTTAGCCAATGCACAAAGGAAAACTCTAATGTCAATTAAATCAGCTACAATCCCGGACATCAACCAAAATACATTTCTCACGGAGGAGTGACATAATACTCTACAGTTCAAATTCACAATGAAGGCTGGGCAATGTGCAATGGCTCTTAGAAGTCAAAACTGATAACGCAAGTCACTACAGGCAACAGAGGATGAGGAAGAGAAGGAGGAGTGGAAGGAAGGTAAGGGGGTGGGAAAGAAAGTGAAAATTGGAGGAGGTGCAAAGGAAGAATGTTCAATAAGCAAGATAGGAAGTACAAATCCTCTCCAATGATAACTGAGTTATGTGTTGTCACGGTTTCCCCAAATGCATACATATACATATTTTCCCTTAAGAAACTATATCATGGAATTTTTCTGATCTTCCTACTTGTTTTCACCCTCCCTCAGTGCCACTCTTCATTTCTTAGCTTTGCCCTGAGCGGCCACAGCAGCCATCGCTGCCTTCACAGTCTCCTCATCTCCCAGGAACTGCATGGGTTTTACTGGCTTCAGGTTCTTATCCAGCTCGTACATGATGGGGATTCCCGTTGGGAGGTTCAGTTCCATGATAGCTTCCTCAGACATACCTGTCGAGTGAAGAACAAAATCAGGTTGTTAGAGATGCAGGAACTGGAGGAGGCCTGGAGACACTTCCAATAAGAAGTGGTTGATCTGTTCCTCAACTCTCATTTGTCCACCGTGCTTCTGCAATTCAATACTTTATCCAACAAAAATCTATCAAAGTTTCAAAGTCATCATTTGATCTCCAGCCTCAACAAATTTTTGAGGAAGAGTTCCAGATTTCCACTCCACTTTGCATGAACAGAGTTTCCTGACATTATCCCAGAACGGCTTGGCTCAAATAAATAATTTCTCTCTGTCCACCCTGAACTTTAATCATTTCAAATCCACCTCATCTTGTTCAGCCCTTAATCTCCTAAACTTGAAAGGACACAAGTCTAGTCACAGGAAACCTGGCTCATAAATTAACCCTTTAGTCCCAGGATAGCTCTGGTCAATCTAGGGTGCTCTCTTAAGGGCAAGACCAATTTGTCCTTTATGAGATATGGTGTCCGGAGCAGCGTGCAATTCATCCAGATGTCTAACCAGAGGTTTATAAAGAGGAAGCATAATTTTCTCCCCTCCACAATCCATTCGCCATTCCCACTTCTGTCTCAGGCTTGCTGCAGTGCTCCAGTGAGGCTCAGTGCAAGCTGGAAAAACAGCATCTCATTTTCCACTTGGGGACCCTGCAGCCTTCAGGATTCAATATCAAGTTCAATAAATTTTAGAGCCTGAACACGTCCTTCTATCTCCTCTACCCACTTCCACACTTCAGGCCCTGTCATGAAATGGGCTGTTTTCAACACAGCCAACCTATTTTCACCTGATTATAACCCCATTATCAGCTTTTCTTTCTCCCTATTATCCATCCCTTTGTCTCACTAACTATCATTCTCTCCTCTGGTACTCCATTTCTGGGGTACCTATTCTCTCACTCCCGCCCAAAGCCCCATTTTCAGCATAAATACTGCCTTTCCTAGCTACCAGCAATTCTGAAGGGTCGCTGGACCCAAAACGTTAACTTTGCTTTCTCTTCACAGATGCTACCAGACCTGCTGAGTTTCTCCAGCAATTTCTGTCTTTGTGTCAATCTCATTTCCCAGGTCCATGCTAAACTGTAACATTACTGGCAAGTGGATGCTGGAAAGGAAAAATATTATAGATGCTCAAAATCTAAAATAAAACAGCAAATGCTGACAGCAACCAGCAACTCAGGCAGCATCTGTCCTGGTGAAAGACCTCTCTCCAAACATGTAACCTGACCTGCTAATGGCAACAATAAAACACATGCACGCGCACGCGCGCACACACACACACACAACCTGTTTTAACTGATAACATTAAACCTAGTTTTTAAGCTATATTTGCAACTGGAAATTCAACTGTATAAATATTTACAAATTCAAGCTTTAACTGATGTTATCACTTATAGGTTAAAGTCAGGACCTCCTCAACATCCAGGTCTGCAGGCAAAGTCTGGGCTTCACATAGTGAACAGGCCAAGTTAGAGATCACAACTGATCCAACAAAACATCATTACTTCATAATGTTGTGGTACAGAGGTCAGATTTTCAGCAAGTTAAATTTAAAAAAGATGAAATTGTAAGGTTGTTAAGATATTGCCTATTAGGGTCCTACTGACCACAAAGATTAATTTTGAGATTAAAAAAATGTAAAGTGCAGGTCTGGTAGCATTTGGGAAACACAAGGAGAGAAACAGAAAGCAATGAGGGCAGATAGGCTGAAAGATTCAGAATGGAAAGCCCATCAAAGAAAAGTGCTGAATTTCTTCACAATGGTCCCTTCTCGAAGAGAAGTGGCAGTGAATTAGACACTAAAATAAAATCAAATGCTGTAGGTCCCTGAGACGGGCTCCAACAGTCACAGTACTTGGATTAAATTTGAGGGACTCTTTGACGATTTGCAAACTCACTAATGACAATGAATTTGAGCCAAGGGCTGTGATCAGCTTTGAGCATATTTTTAAAATTACCACAACAGACCAGGGAAACTCATTTTGCTCTGGAATATTTATATTTACATTTCTCAAACTCTTGTACCGATTTCAGCCAAAATGACTGATAAAATCTTACCTCTTAACTTTCAAGTTACAGCCATGGTGTCTCAGGCCTTTGTTGTAATTTGCATTCCTGCAATGATTTACTGCTAGCAGAACATTCTAAAGTGCCATGCAGGACTATTGTAAGACAGCTATGTGAAGACTTAACAAGAGACCAAAAACTTGATTTTTAAATGTAAACTAGTGTCTTAAAAGAAAAGGGGAGAGGTTTTGGAAGGGTATTCCAAAGCTTGGAGCAATTTTTGCCAGGTCAATGGTCGTAGGACGAATATCAGACTGAACGAGAAGTCAGAATTAGAGCAGCACAGAGATCTGGGAGGAACGTGAGGCTGGAGATTCAGAGATAGGGAAGGGGTGAGGCAATGGAAAGATCTGAAAGCAAGGATGAGCTTTTTGAAATATAAAGGAGTCAAGGAGCCCAAAATAAAAACCGAAAAAAAAAACTGCAGATGCTGTAAATCAGGAACAAAAGCAAAGTTGCTGGAAAAGTTCAGCAGGTCTGGCAGCATCTGTGAAGAGAAAATCAGAGTTAATGTTTTGAGTCCTGTGACTCTTCCTCAGAACACAGAT